TTCTCTAAGAAGAGTCATACTGCATTTTTCTTTTTCTGACTGGTCTTTTGCAGTTAGCATAGTATCATGAAGTTTCATGCCTGTTGTAGTATGGGACAGAATGTCATTTTATAAGAATAAATAATATCCCATTGTGTATATATATAAATTTTCATTATCCATTCATCCACTGATTGGCATTTAGGTTGATCTACCTGTTGGCTGTTGTGAACAATGGATTTCAATTTATTTTATTTTTTATAGAGATCGGATCTCGCTCTGTTGCCTAGGCTGGTCTCAGACTCCTGGGCTCAATTGATCTTCCTGCCTCAGCCTCCTAAAAGTGTTGGGGTTACAGGCATCAGCCACTGTACCCAGCTGTTAATGATTTTCAAATATTTCTTTGAGATCCTACTTTCAATTCTTTTGAACTGAAAATATAATTCAACCCAAAAGTGGGTTGCTGGAACATTTGGTAATTTTGTTTTTAATTTTTGAGGTACCGCCATACTGATTTTCATAGCTAAGCCATTTTACAATCCTTTGGACAGTGTACATAGGTTCCGGTTTGCCAGCATCCTCATCAAAGCTTTCCATTTGGCGCGTTTGATGTGTTTTTTATAGTTGAATTATGGAAGTTCTTTATACTTGCTGAATATTAAGACCATACCAAATATATGACTTACCATTATTTTCTCCAAATTGATGAGTTTTCTTTTCCCTTGTTGACAGTGTGTTCCCCTACCCAAAAGTTCTTAATTTTCATAAATCACATTGCCTTTTTGTTAAGACTGCCCCCCACAGAGTTTTCACCTCTAAACCTTGTCCCCATTCAGCCTTCAGCACTTCATCAATCACAATTTATGTTGTCCTACCCCAGTACTATTTCCCACATGGTTTTGGTCATGGTTTCTGTTTCAGTTAGTTATGACTCTCTTAATCAGTTGGGTCGGTGAGATCCCATGCAAAATTCAGCTTTTGTTTGTTTTTGCATTTGCCTGTGCTGTTTGAATCAGAATCAAATCCACTTTCCAGATACTATCAAAGGTTAAACTTTGTGAATAAACATTTTCAAGGATATGTAGTCTCAAGACTGCTATTGTGAGCTTTTTTTCTGCACATGAATTAGTAGGACTCTGTTACGAAAGATGCTACACACCCACTGTGCAAAGAGACATTAGGGGTACCCAGGAGGCACATCTTTCTCTCCGGATTCACCAAAAAGATACATTTTCCTATTCTTTTTTTTAAGATGGAGTCTCACTCTGTTGTCCAGGCTGGAGTGCAGTGGCTCGATCTTGGCTCACTGCATCCTCTGCCTCCTGGGTTCAAGTGATTCTTATGCCTCAGCCTCCCTGAGTAGCTGGGATTACAGGCGCCTGCCACCACACCCGGCTAATTTTTGTATTTTTAGTAGAGATGGGGTTTTGCCATGTTGGCCAGCCTGGTTTTGAACTCCTGACCTCAGGTGATCTGCCCGCCTTGGGCTCCCAAAGTGCTGGGATTACAGGCGTGAGCCACCATGCCTGGCCATAAATTTGTTATTTTGGAATAATTTTAGATATATAGAAAAGTTGTAAAGATAATATACAAAGTTCCCATATACCCGTCACCCATTTTCTTCTAATGTGAGCATCTTACATAACCATGGTCCATTAAAACTAAGAAATTATCATTTATATATTACTATTAATGAAACTCCAGATTTTCAACAGTGTTTCCACTAATATCCTTTTTCTTTTCCAGGACCCAATCCAGTATACCCCCACTGTATTTAGTCCTCATGTCTCCTTGATCTGTTCTGTGACAATTTCTCAGTCATTCCTTGTTTTTTAAAAATCACTTTGACAGTTTTAAGAGTGCTGGTCAGGTATCCATAGAATGTTCCTCATTTTGGAATTTTTCTCATGATTAGACTGGAGTTAGGTGTTTTGCGGGAGAATGCCACAAAGGCGAAGTGTCCAGGCTCATCACTAGATACAGCTGGTGACAGTAACCTTGATCACTTGCTTAAAGCAGTGTTTTCAGGTTTCTCCACTTTAAAGTTGCTATTTTTTCCCCTTTCCATACTCTGTTCTTTGGAAGTGAGTCACTAAGTCCAGTACAGGTTCAAGGGAGGAGGGCCAATTCAGCTCCATAGTTTTGGATGCTGGGAAGTCTAAGATCAAGGCGTGCTGGACGCGGTGGCTCACGCCTGTAATCCCAACACTTTGGGAGGCCAAGATGGGCAGATCACGAGATCAGGAGTTTGAGACCAGCCTGAGCAACATGGTGAAACCCCGTCTCTACTAAAAATATAAAAATTAGCTGGGCATGGTGGCGCACGCCTGCAATCCCAGCTACTCAGGAGGGTGAGACAGGAGAACTGCTTGAACTCAGGAGGCAGAAGTTGCAGTGAGCCGAGATTGTGCCACTGCACTCCAGCCTAGGTGACAGAGTGAGACCCCATCTCAGAAAAAAAAAGAGATCAAGGCACTGGCAGGTTCCATATCCAGAGGGTCCGTTCCTCATGAACTCCATCCTCTTGCTGTGTCCTCACGTGGCAGAAGGCTACATTTTCCTATTTTGCTGTTGCTTTACCCCATAGTTCCACTCTGGCATCAAAATTGCTGTTTGAGAGGAAGTGAGTGTAGACAGGAGAGTAAGAGGTCTGATGACAGAGGCAGGGAATACATGTTTGGAGTCCACAGCATCATGAGAATTTCTTAGGAATAGAGTCTAGGATCCCAGTGCTGTCAATCTCACCCGTCCTCCTCTGCACCTGTGGGATGTTTCAGGATTCAGGATGTGGCTGTGAACTTCTCCCAGGAGGAGTGGGCTTTGCTGGATCCTTCCCAGAAGAATCTCTACAGAGATGCGATGCAGGAAACTTTCAGGAAATTCATCTCTGTAGGTAGGGGTGACAATATTACCTCCCTCAGTGAATTAAGGAACACGTGTTTCTAGCTCATTAGTGCTATTCGGGGATTTGGAATATGGATAGGCAATCCTTCGATGAACAAATCAGGCATGGCTGCAGTGTCCCATAAACATGGAAGCTAATGATTTTTAAATAATCGTATACTAATTCAGGACTATTTTTCTGGGTCTATATTTTAGGGAATAAATGGAAAGACCAGAATATTGAAGGTCAGCACAAACATCCCAGGAGGACTCTAAGGTAATTTACACTCACAAGACAAAGAAATGTCTCTGAAGAAAATCTCAGATTGTCAGAAATTGTTAAAAAGAAGCCAACAAAAGAAATAAGCTCAGCATAAAATGTATTTATTCTTAGAAAATTTTCTCTAAAAACGTATTTCAGTTGACATAGAGGTTTAATGTTCATAAGATAGTTTACTTGGAAATAGTATTAAGAAAGCTCGGGCTGGGCATGGTGCCTCACGCCTGTAATCCCAGCACTTTGGGAGGCCAAGGTGGGCGGATCACCTGAGGTCAGGAGTTCAAGACCGGTCTGACCAACATGGAGAAATCCTGTTGCTAGTAAAAATACAAAATTAGCCAGGCATGGTGGCACATGCCTGTAATCCCAACTACTCGGGAGGTTGAGGCAGGAGAATCGCTTGAGCCCAGGAGGCGGAGGTTGCAGTGAGCCAAGATTGCGCCACCATGGCACTCCAGCCTGGGCAACAAGAGGAAAACTCCATCTCAAAAAAAAAAAAAAAAATGAAACCTCATGTAAATATTCTTTTTTTGATGATAGATATAGACAGGCCATCTTGTAGAATGTGTGATCCATTCATGTTTAAACAATTCAGACAGGGCAGAAAGCCTACACTTTGCAGAATAATGTTAAAAATGCAGCTGGATATGGTGGCTCATGCCTGTAATCCCAGCACTTTGGGAGACCAAGGCAAGAGGACCACTTGAGGTGAAGAGCCCAAGATCAACCTGGGAAACACAGCAAGACTCTACCTTTACCACAAATAAAAAATTAGCTGGGTATGGTGGCACACAGCTGTAGTCCAGCTTTCTGGGGAGCCTGAGGTGGGAGGATCACTTGAGCCCAGGAGGTGAAGGCTGCAGTGTGTTATGATCACACCACTGCACTCCAGCCTGGGTAACAGAGCGACACTTTGTACGAAAAAACCAAAAACATTAAAAATGCAAATGTAATACTTATTAACAAATATTAAATCACTTATAAACAGACCCTTAATTATGTGCTTGGCATTTTGCACAGAAATTTTATGGGAGAGAGCCTCTTTGAGAGTACAGAAGGTAGCCAGTGTGGAGAAACTTTCACCCAGGTTCCAGAAGACATGCTGAACAAGAAAACTGTTTCTGGAGTAAAATCATGTGAAAGCGGTACGTGTGGAGAAGTCTTCATGGGACATTCATCCCTTAACAGGCACATCAAAGCCGACACTGGACACCAACCATGTAAGTGTCAGAAATTTGGAGAGAAGCCATATAAGCATGAACAACGTGGGAAAGCCTTGAGCGATAGCCACTGCTTTCAAACACATGAAAGGCCTCACGCTAGAGAGAAACCTTTTGATTGTAAGGAATGTGGAAAATCTTTCATTTCTCCTGCAAACATTCGAAGACATATGGTAATGCACAGCGGAGATGGACCTTCTAAATGTACGTTTTGTGGGAAAGCCTTGGATTGTCTCAGTTGATACCTTATCCATGAAAGGACTCACACTGGAGAGAAACCATATGAATGTAAACAATGTGGTAAAGCCTTCAGTTGGCACAGTTCTGTTCGAATCCATGAAGGAACTCACACTGGGGAGAAGCCATGTGAATGCAAGGAGTGTGGGAAATCATTCAGTTTTTCCAGTTCTTTTCGCAGACATGAAAGGACATACACAGGAGAGAAGCTGCCTCAGAAATCATCTGACCATGTGTCCTGGTTTGCCAACGAGAATCCTTGATAGTACCTGTTGTCCCAACATAATTTTTCATAGCACCTCATCTTCTTGCCATGGTTATCCATGTCTGAACAATGAATATGTATGAGTACTTTCACACATAAGCAAAATTAGGTTTATTAAATGAAGTTTCCAGGAATGTTTAAATTTCAACACCTGATTTGCCTTATCACAAGTTATGGCTGTGCTAATTTCTCCAGGCAGTATTCATGGAATATTGAATTTATCGTTTTAAGGTGTGGAGCAATGAAGATGCCCAAGAGGCCGGGTTCACACCTGTAATCCCAACACTTTGGGAGGCTGAGGCTGGAGGATCACTTAAGTTCAGCAGTTTGAGATCAACCTGAACAACTGAATGAGACCCCATCTCTACCAAAAATAAAAAACTAGCCAGGCATGGTGGCACACACCTGTAGTCCCACCTACTTAGGAGGCTGAGGTGGGAGGATTTCTTGAACCTGGAAGGTTGAGGCTGCAGTGAGCAGTGATCACACCACTGCACTCCAGCTTGGATGACAGAGTGAGACCCCATCTCAAAAAAAGATGCCTAAAACATATATATATATATATTTTTTTGAGACGGAGTCTCACTGTGTCCCAGGCTGGAGTGCAGTGGCATGATCTTGGCTCACTACAACCTCTGCCCCCCGGTTCAAGCAATTCTCCTGCCTCAGCCTTTCAAGTAGCTGGGATTACAGGCGCGTGCCACCATTCCTGGCTAATTTTTGTATTTTTAGTAGAGACAGGGTTTCACCATGTTGGCCAGGCTGGTCTTGAACTCCTGACCCCATGATCTGCCGGCCTTAGCCTCTCAAAGTGTTGGGATTACAAGCATGAGCCACCGCACCCGGCCTGCCCAAGTCATAATTTCTATTACAGAATTTCTCATTTACAGCTTCTCCTGAGACCATCTTTCATTTCAGTTAACCCTGCTCCTTGGGGGTTATATGTGAGATAAAATGCCATGCTATATCATGTTCCCTGGTTCAGTCCTACACAGCGTGTCCTGAAAAATGGGTCTTCAGTCACTGTCAGTGCACCAGGGATAGATATACATAGTACTGAGAGCCTCTAAATCTTTAATAAGTTCTGGCTTGGTTAGCTCTCTTACAAGGAAAACCTTGCAGCAGTCCATAGCAATGTGAGGAAGCCTTGGCCATGCCTCATCCCATTTCCCGCACCCTGAAAGACATCTGCCTCTCTCTCCTGGTGCAGTCATGCCTCTTGCCTGGTCTGGGCTCCCCTCCTGCTCTGAGGCAAGCGTCTCTCTCCATTGAACACTGAGTCTGAAATGCCCTGCATACACTTGTGATCCCGTGCAGAAGGAAGGAGCAGGGACAGCTCCTTGAATGAGGAAGCTAACAGTGCCTCTTCTAACAGTGAGGAGCAAGTCGCCTTGAAATGCAAATATCCGATAACCAGGGCGCAAGGAAGGCGCTCGCTTAGAGAGGCTGCTCGCTTAGAGACGCTGTGGCCGGAACAAGTCAGACAAGATCTGCAGGACCCGGTTACCCAGGGCTTTTGCTGTCACTCAGGACGGAGGAGGCGGGGCCTGGCGCCCCATCCAATCAGGGGTGCTGGGGCGGGGCCCTGTCAGCAGTCCATCCGGGGAAGGGGGAGGGGACAGTCGCCCTTCGTCCTTTCCTTTGGTGCTGTACCGGCTGCGGTGAGGAACTCGGCGCTCTTGCTCCGAGAGGGGCCAGGTTCCTCCACCAGAGCTTCTGTCGCTCTGTAACCTGCACTGTGACCTACACTAGTCGCGGGAGCCACGCAGAGGACGCCGGAACACCCTGGAAGCCGAGAAATGGTGTGTGTGAGGGGGCTGCCTCCGGGCGACTGGGAGAGGGGCTGGAATCGGCCAGAACGGGCTGAGGCGGGACCCGGGCCTCCACGCCGCGACTCCGGGGTCTGGGACACGAGTCCCCTCGGCCGCAGGGTGAGGCTGGGCCGGCAGCCGGGACCCCGGGCGTCCTGCCCCGTCCCTGCACGGCAACTGCTGCCCTGCCCCGGAGCCCAATCTGGGCAGCTCCGCGCCCTCAGCTCCGCGTCTCCCCACATTATGCGGGGGCCACGGGAGGGATATGGGGGGATCCCGTCTCGGGTATGGGGTTTGTTAGAAACAAGTGCCCGGTGCCACAAAGAAAACCAGCATCTAAGCAGAAAATTCCTCAGCAAGGCACATTTGTTTGTACATAAGTGTGCAGCTTGGGCCAGTCACGGATGATCGCAAGAGCACACCGAGCGGGGTAGGACAGGGGTTTTTATCCTTAACGCAGTTCCTGGGACTTCTGTGCCCTTTCCTCATTGGCTAGGGTTGGACTTCACAATCTAAGCTAACTTGATTGGCTAAGGTTTAAAATTAAATAGGGTCTGGCCGGGCGCGGTGGGTCACGCCTGTAACCCCAACACTTTGGGAGGACGAGGCAGGCGGCTCACGAGGTCAGGAGATCGAGACCATCCTGGCTAACACGGTGAAACCCCGTCTCTACTAAAAAAAATACAAAAAAAACTAGCCGGGTGAGGTGGCGGGCGCCTGTAGTCCCAGTTACTCGGGAGGCTGAGGCAGGAGAATGGCGTAAACCCGGGAGGCGGAGCTTGCAGTGAGCCGAGATCCGGTCACTGCACTCCAGCCTGGGCGACAGAGCGAGACTCCGTCTCAAAAACAAAACAAACAAACAAAAAAAAACAAAACTCAAAACAAACAAAAAAAGAACTATAATTATCTTGAAAGCACATACTGTTATGGGTATTGGGACATCGGGACATTCTGTTGTGGGACTGTAAGGATACTTGCAGGCATCTTCAGGCTGTTTCCTTCATGGGAAACATTTGATGATCATGGGTTGTGACTGGCAAGGAGTGTTTCTTGTTAGTCTCAAGATGGAGCTGAACTTAAATTGGTGTTATTCTGGCTTCCCTAGGCACCTGCTTCCCTAACACTTATATAGGCAAAAGGCAAATAAATACAACAGGATTACGTTTTCCATAGAAGGCTGATGTATGAGATACAACAGTTTAATTATTATTTTTGAAACAATGTCTTGTTTTGTGGCCCAGGCTGGAGCAGTGGTGCGATCATGGCTTACTGCAGCCTTGACCTCCCCAGCTCAAGCACCTCCGCCTCCCGAAGGACCTGAGACTATAGTTGCCCACTACCACACCTGGCTAATTTTTTATTTTTTTCCGGATGTGGGGTCTCGATACGTTGCTCAGGCTGGTCTCTAGCTCCTAGCCTCTAACAG